CTTCCCAATTGATGAGTTACTTTCAGTACATAACTTTACAGAATCCTCTCCTGTCAATGGAACAAAAATAAAACAATGCAATAGTTATTAAATAAGTAAATATTGAAGAAGGGGATTATATTGCAGTGTTATGAATTTTTCTCTGCTTATAATGCTAGGATGTAATTAACCTTGCCGATAAGAACTCCTCATGGCAACAAGCTACTCAGATCGACTTGTATAGGATTATCTAATATAATTTTGAATGTAATGAAAATGTCCAAATGTGTGAAAAAAAATGTGTAATACAAATATTTTCATTTCATTTTGAGGAAGAGATTGTGTATGAAAAAGTATTTTGTAAATCGAAACATTGACTGTTAATATGCACATTGCATTCAAATGCACCATTTAGGATATGTATTTTTCAGTAATATGCATGATGGGATCTTTTTCACCTACATTTATAAACCATAGGCAATTCAGTTGTTAATGTCCTTTATAAAAACGGTCCTGGATAAAAATAAAATACATATTTACAGAAGAGATAGCGTGGTATATTTAGTCTATCCAAGTTTCAGCTGGGTCAAAACACTCACAGTACCTACCCAGGGGTTCAGGTTGGGGCAGGCATTCGCCCAACCATGTTTGAGAAAACACTGACCAGTAGAAGAGATCTATAAATGGATTTTTCAGAAAATTAAGTGGATGAAGATTACTGATCATTGACTTTTGTTGTTGCTTTCATGCTAGAGTGGTTTCACTGTTATTTTTTGTGGGTACCAATTTTCAAGGATTTTGTGGTTGCTCTGCTGAAAGCTCCAAACCCCATCTCATTTTTGTTTTTATGCATTTGTGGTGGTCAACAGTGTTCAGCTGTTAGGGAACAAATGTTTATTATTGTAATAACATTAGATCTTTTAAACCATTTTTAGGGGAAAAAAAAAATTATGAAGCAATTTGTATTGTTTCAAAGCATAGGTATGAATACAGTATCTGGTAGCTATCTTTTTGACTCACTGTCTTTAAACAATTTATATTGAGATCACTATGAATAGAGCCAAAAGAGAAGGAACATAAAGTTATGGTACTAGTATTACAGAAAATGCAAGAAATAACAAATGAAACGATGTATGTAAATTGATTTAAATTTTATTTATATCCATATTTTATTCTCCACATTTCTCTAATTTAGGATTTGACCATTGTTATGATCCATCTTAAAGAATAATCTTCATAAAGAATAGATAAATATAAACATGTTTACTTTTAATTACAGGTTGCAAACTTTCCTTTTAAAATTTAAAAACTCCTGAAAGAATGCATCTCATTTTTTTAATGTATTATGAATCCTTAGAAACAAGGCTGCAAGATACTAAATTATTCCTTGATTTTCAGACAAACCCACTTTAAAAAAAAACAATGTGGCAATCAAACCTCTTGTTAAACAAACTTTTAGTTACAAAAAATCCCAAAATTGTGAAATTATATGCACCATGGATAATTTGGACTGATCTCATGGACATTTTATCTGAGCCTGTTTCCTAGACTGCAGATCATAGGTTGTCACAGTCTGCCTTATTGCATTGAGCAAGGGACAGTTTGTTGGATGGTTTACATATGGAATGATGACATAATCCATGTAACACAGTGATGCAACTTTATGGACACTGGTTTAAGTAAAGGTTCATATGGATATGTTTAAAAACTGCTTGACTTGGTATTGTTGGCTGCACTGGCTCATTTTGATTTTGAACACTAATGAAAAGACTAAGGGATTGATATTGAAGAGTTTTTGTGTTATATTCCTACTTCATTCTATTACAGGGAGATAGAACATCTTATGAAGAAGTTGGGTGCATCAAAACAAAAGAAGGCCAAATTCCTTGCAGAAAAACAAGACATTGTAGGTGAAGTCAACAAAAAGAAAAAAATATCAGAGGAGAAAATAAGACACATGAAGGAGGTCTATGCAGACATTCTAGAAAAAGTAAGTTTCAGTTGCATTATATCTTCATTTTTTTAAAAAAAAAGCTTAAAAAAATTAATTTTTAAAAGAATGTGTTGGTGAAATAACACAAAATATAAATATAGGTGTTGACAAGTTAAATTCAGCCTATATATTGAACCTGTTGACAAGTTTGGAGTGATTTCTCATTGATTTGTGGTCTTGGGTGGGTTCTTAGAAGAATTGTTATTTGCCATTGGATTGGTTAGGTCCTGTGAATATTAGTTTGAGATATGAGATTGAGTAGTAAGGTCTATTGTGGGGTATATTGCAACATACTGTTGTAGTAGACACAGATGTATATGAGAAACTGAGCAATTCATTCACTCCTGATTTGGATTGATGCCTAATTGGAATTCCTATGTCATCTGTTAAAATCAGTCTGCAGATATGTTTAATGTTGTTTAGATAATTTGAGAGGAGACATTTGTTAGGAGTATTCATTGGAATTGCAAAGTATTCATTGGACTAGAACATTATTTTGTGACTTGTTAATTTTTGGGAGGAGTTTGTAAAATGCCTTTGTGGTATATATACATTCAAGGATAATTCATTTGAAACATTTGACTCTTTTGGACGAGAATAGAACTTTTTAAGATTAATTTGGATTCAGTTTATAATACTGTAAGTTTCTCTTACATTTTCATTTTATAACTTTGATAATTAAATTAAGTTTTACAAATCTTGATTTAGCTTCTTTTTGTTGCTTTAGTTTATGACCATGGAGTCGTAACAGTTTAACACTTTTTCTCAGTAATCGTACAGATAATTGAAAATAACGTATACACAAATTTGCATGCTTTATCTGCTGTACAAAAAAGTCCAGTTGACTGAGATGTTATGAATCTCGTCCCATTAGGAAAAAAGTTCAATAAATATTATTTCTCCATGCTTTTTGTTTTAATTTATGCATATGTAATTGTATAATGTTAAAATATATTCAGTAATTGGTGCATTATATGTTAATTCAACATACTGTTGTTCTTCTCAGGTTGATAACTACAACACCAAAATAGCTGAAGGATGGAATGAAGTGAGAACACTGTTAAAAAGCGAGACATTATTAAACAGCAAGCTAGATGAGATCTAATTATCTAAATAAAGGAGTCTCTTTATTTATAACCATTTTGGCTAATTTTGCCTGCAAATAAATCTATGCAATATATCAGGGCAGAATAGAGTTGAATAATAACACAATTTCATTTGTTTTTCTTATTTCAAATAACAATTACATTTCAACTTCCAATTTTAGATGTTTATGACTGTACCATTATCCTCCTTAGATTGTGAAGTATCTACCCAAAGAATGTTAGATATCTTTTTCTAGTCTTTGACTTGCTTCCATTCTCTTCTTTCCCTCAGCATCTTTGGCTTTCTCTGTCACATACACAAGAAAGGTACTGGTAGCAATCTGGACTCCACTTACCTGAACAATTAATTGCTACTTTATGTAATGCACATCTACAGCTTTATAAAAATAAATAACATTGTTTCTCATTCAGTTTGTATTTATTGTATGCATGCAAAATCTGTACAGAAAAATAAAAAAAAAACATGTTGTTGGGGTATGTTGTAGGGTGAGATAAATATTTTTTTTTTTAGGGGGGTAACAGAATTATCTTCCATTTATACAAATGAGTATGTTCATTATGGGATGATATGCTAGTTTTTCAACATGTACATCATACAATGGTGACCATAATATGTACCAAGTTTCATAGAAATCTAATCAAACTTGAAGTAGTTGTAGTAACATGCATAAATTCTGTCATTCATGTACATTGCTTCAGACTGTAACTGAAAATGGGCAATAACTCTTAACAATGCCACAGGGAACAGTGAGTGGTATATATGCACATTTTCAGTTGATGACCAAAATTTTAGTCTCTAATATGGTCTAAGTTTCACAGGTTCTGTCATACATTGCATTCAGCTTTAAGACTAAAGGTCAGAAAGGTCAGTAATTTGTTGATCGACTAGGCACGTTCATATGATTCTATCACATACAGCAATTAAGCTTTAGGAATAAAGGCCTGAAACATAAGTAATTTATTTATTAACAAGTGCATCTTCAGATGATGACCATAACATGTAATTATTGGTGAGACTAGGCATGTTTACCCGATTCTGTTGTGCACCGTACAACATATTTCATGAAAAGACGGTGAACTATATCATTGTGAGAAAAATTGAAGATGATGTAATATCAATAAAAGTAATATTGCAGACCTACCAACCCTTACGATTTTGCCACAAGTCTTACAAAAATTACCCTTAAATTACAGACTAACCACATACAAGCAAAAACTATGTATTATTGCCAAAAAATCTGGATACTGTATTTGGTTCATCCATATTCGATTTAGATCGGGGTTTTATATCAGAATTAGTAAAACTAGTCAGGGAACCAGACTAACTTTATAGCAGCACCCCTGGTGCATTAAATTGCACCTATTTTTCATGTGAAGAGTCTGCATGATCAAGCTTGATTTTAGAATAAAAGCTGGAAAGGTTACAATTATGTTTATTGGACATCACATGACAAATTGAGTATGTCTTATGGTGGGAAATATGATTGCTATTGTCATGTGAAATGGAAAAATAATTTCCAAGAATTATGTCAAGTTGAGAGATAGCATCAAGCCATTGAGTTGCATAATGTTTGAAACTAAAGTTTTTGCACTTGTACTGGTGGTAAATAAAGTCTATGCATACTTTACAAACTTGTCAGTTGAATGTAATGTTTATCGTTGCTGCGTCAAACTTTTAATTATGTTTTCCAGCTTTATAATAGCAGCTATTGATATTTTGTTACACCTTACTGAAAACTGGTCAATCTTATGGGGAAAAAAAATCAACTGCCTTACTGAGACAGACTCTTCAGGGTTGGCAGGTCTGATATTGCAACAGTGGTGATGGCAACACAAACTACTTTCTGGTCCAATTTAGGAAATATATCTTATATATTCTGTATTTCCATAGATCCAACTCATTTCTTCTCTCTATGTCAACCGTTCCAGTGGCCTAGTGGTTAGAACGTCTGCCTCAGATGCGGGAGGTCGTGTGTTCGATCCCCGGTTGAGTCATACCAAAAACTTACTAAAATGGTACTAACAGCTGCCTCTCTTGATGCTCAGCATTAAGAGGTTAGTGTTAGGACTGGTCTGTCTGGTGTCAGGATAATGTGACTGGGTGGGACATCATGCTACATGTCTGCGGTATGATGCCCCAGTGCTAGACATCACTATAAACTGCCACACTGCAGACATCATAGCGATATGACTGACAAATTGTTAAAGCTACATTAAAAATCATAATTAAATCACATCTCTCTATATCAATGTCAGATTGAACACATCTTAAAATATTCCAAAACTATTTTTATTTAAGCAATGAGATGCCATAAAAAAGGTGAAAACCCTCGAAAGAAAAAGTAAGTTTCAGGTATTAACTTAATCCATTTTTTTATACTAGAATAACTGAATGGTCTGTTTCTAACTGACATTCACTTTCACCCATCCATAACTGTTATCTCTACAAGAAATGGTAAAGGTTTTTAGGGCAAAACTAATTAACTGTAACACTCAAGATTTTAACTCTTATCATGCATACCTTGTTTGAACATGATGTTAAATAGTTAATGGGTGAGTCAACTTTACAAATTCATTAAATGACTCAAACTTTGGGCGTAAACTCAAAAGACCACAGAATCAGTGATGCATCCAAGATTTAATCTGAAGTGGGGATCTCCACCCTGTCACCAAAAAAGGCAGGAGTAAGGAAGTTGATGTGGAAAGGGACATAGTTTAATATTAACCTAAAACTTCAGTTTAATATTTACCTATCACTTCAATATCCATCTTTATTTCTTCCTGCTCCACTCTTTTAAAATCAAAATCTTTAAAAGATGATGCCTCTAGCTGTATGATGATTATTTCTGAACATTTTTCTGTGCTAAAAACCATCCTTTCACAATCTGAAGGGGCATATACATAGCTAGCCTAGCCAGCTTAAAAAAGCTAGAAAATTGTTCTTTATGATTGTTAAGTACTATTTTCCAGAGCTTTTATATATATATATATATATATATATATATATATATATATATATATATATATATATATATATATATATATATATATATATTCATGTTTTGGATACTTCTGCTCCAAAATAAGATTTTTCACTAATATATGTTCTACCAAAGTTTCACTTTCTTGAATTGGTGTTTTACTGACTACTATGCCAGATTTCTTAACTGTTTGATGATGCTGTATTGGGGTTTTTAAATCCATGAATGCTATAGTCTGCTTTTTAAGAAAGATATTTTGATTCAATAAAATTATATTTCTTAATTTCATTCTTCATTTTTATTCATCCAGTTTACCTTAAACCCTTAGACAATGCAGCTCATGATCCTACAGAGCTAAACTGTTTCAGAAAAGAAATGAAAATTGCTCCCACCTTTTAAATTGTATTTTAATTAAGGTTGACATTCTGCTTTCTTTTCTACATTTAATTTGTAAATACTGCTGATCTGCATGTCATCTAATTGTGTCCATCCAGCATGGACTTGGATACCATATTTTCAGGCTCCGAATCACACACTGGTATTTCCATTAATTTTCACAGCTCCAATAATCTTATATACTGCATAACATTTAATATCATTGTCCTCATTACAATCATCACTCAGTATGTGTGGAACAAAATCATCATCTTTCCCTTTTAAGGAAACTCCTTGATTCAGATCTTTCATTTAAAGATGTAATACTCTGAAATCTGTCATATTAACCCAAGCTGCAATGATGCTAAGCCCACTCCAACAATGTTCACTCTCTCAATCTGTCATATTAACCCAAGCTGCAATGATGCTAAGCCCACTCCAACAATGTTCACTCTCTCAATCTGTCATATTAACCTAAGCTGCAATGATGCTAAGCCCACTCCAACAATGTTCACTCTCTCAATCTGTCATATTAACCCAAGCTGCAATGATGCTAAGCCCACTCCAACAATGTTCACTCTCTCAATCTGTCATATTAACCCAAGCTGCAATGATGCTAAGCCCACTCCAACAATGTTCACTCTCTCAATCTGTCATATTAACCCAAGCTGCAATGATGCTAAGCCCACTCCAACAATGTTCACTCTCTCAATCTGTCATATTAACCCAAGCTGCAATGATGCTAAGCCCACTCCAACAATGTTCACTCTCTCAATCCATTCAAAAAGTTTTGATGAAATATAAATCATAAAATTTTCGTAAAAAAAGGAAAGAAAAATAAAAAATTTGGAGCAATATAAATTTGTAAAAGTTGTCATTCTAAATTAATGTAAAATTTCCAAGTTTGCTTTGATCAATGTAGTAATACATATCCATTAACTGCACTGGCACACAAAGAAGCTAAATCAAGATTTGTATAACTTAATTTAATTAATCAAGATGATTTTTGTAAAATTTAATTTAATTATCAAAGGTATAAAATGAAAACGTAAGAGAAACTTACATTATTATGAACTGAATCCAGATTAATGGAAATCATGCAAGTCATCACTTTTTTGCCTAAAAACATATATAATAAAAAGAAGATAACAAAAATAAGGGAAATATATTTAATTTGTGAATTTTTAACATTACCTTGTATCTGCTTAACAAAAATATATTTATCAGCTTCCAGTCAAAATGGGAAATCATTTTTCTAAAAATTGCGGGAACAGAGTTATTTGTTGACATGCACAGCTTACTTAATGACATTCATATATACCAATTTTCATGGCAATACATAAAAAAAATTGCAGGACTAGTTGCATTTACATTAATGTAAGTAAATGAAGGATGGATTCCAATATATCACTGCCTCAAAACAAAACAAGGTTACAAAATAAATTGTAAGATATCAGTCTAAGCATTGATGTTATTGTATGCAGGACACCAAAGATGCCAAAACATTTATATCAAAATAAAAAGTTTCTGCCCTTACATATTGATCATTATCAGAATTCTAGAACAACATACCATTACCTCCTGTCAACCATCATTTTAAAAAATCTTGAAAACAATTGGTAATGACCACCTTTTTAATCACAATAATCACCCTGTGCATATAAAATTAATAATCTGGGTCAATTTCATAAGAATACAGCTTATAAAAAGTACACTCCAACATTGTCAAAATAGTTTCCATCTTGTGTATGTACATGCTGAAAGAGTTGGCTCCCTTCTGGTTTAGGACCCGGACTCCGCACTCCAGATGTTCTTTCTCTCTCCCAGTATCGTTACAGCCAATGAAATACATGAGACTAATTTAACCTTTGGAATTAACTGGTAATGATGGACATGCCATACATGGTGACAGGTTCTGAGAAAATGGCAATTTCTTCCACTTTCCTTCCATGCTATGAGTGACATGTACTTTGAGAAGTGGCTTTTATCATATAAGTTTTAACCAGAATGAGGGATGCATATTTATTAAGTTATGTTAATGTATTACAATAGATATGGTATTTAATTTTGTTACTTGTTATTTCAAAAGCATGGATGTCCTCTGCTTAAATACCATCTAGCAAAAACATTCGAGATAGAGCAGATAATGCAAATCTAGGTCTACAAGAGTTTATTAGCATAGCTCTCCGTGATTATGGCATCTTGTATACATCTCTTATCCTGTGCAATAACCTTTCTCCAATGAATCCATACACAGGTCTAGCATATATGCCTATATTGCTTAACTGTAGCTCCACCTAGAACCACTTTCATCCTACACCATCATTTTTGACATTGTAGTTTCTAATTTTTGGTCTGTTGGGTAACTTTTGTCTCATTTTCCCAGCTGCTTTCTCAGAAAGCTTTTTCTCCTGCCTTGACTTATGCCTGACCTCTGGCTTTCGTCCTGCCAGATAAAGACCTTGATGCTGATCCTCATCAGCTGGGTGTGTAGGAATTAGGTCACTGCCTCCTGGAATTAAAATAGTTGAGGTACAAATTCAACATCAAATGAATAGCATAATTATACAAAAAAAAAAAAATACATCAGGGGTACCATTTATGGCAATTCCAGCAATATAAGTTTTTTAAAAAAAGCTTTCAAAAATCAACCTTTTAGAAAATTGAGTTAATCAAACTATGGGATTAAAAAAAGAACATACACTCATCCATAAATTTCCATACATTCCAAATAAAGTGATGTTAAGCAGGTTCACTGGATACAAGGAAGACCATCTGCTATACAAAGTGATACAAAGAAGGTTTACTGGGTATGAGATGGTCCTTTTGCTATGAGACAGTCCATCTGACATAGAAAGTGATACAAAGCAGGTTCACTAAGTATGAGACATCTGCTATAGAAAGTGATACAAAGCAGGTTCGCTGAGTACACCATTCCCTCGATAACTCGCGGACATTGGGGTCCAAAAACATCGACCGTGATATAAGCGAGGGCGCGAGTTATCGAGGGACCTATAACAAACAACAAATATAACAATGGGATCGACGCATAGAGAAAAGGGTGGGGTGGGGTGGCTTGGCATGTTGAATACTCAATTAATAATCGTGCTAAGATTAACAGTGGATAAATATCATTTCATATCGGTGTACTTTGTTTAGTTTTTCCTCACAGAGTAACATTAATTTCAGGATAACTTACAGTATATTGAGGAAATCATCTAAACATTATTCCTCCTGGTTTCCGTTTGCTTAGCACATGTACTAAACACGTTGCGTATTACGTCACTTTTTTGTGGTGAATGGTATACATTCTAATTTTATTGTTTGATCCAAAGTAGATGATTTTTTTTTCAAATAAAAAAGATCGACACACCGAAAAAACAATGTCGATCGAACGATGTGTAGATTTTTATTGCGGTAGAAGTAAAATGGAAGAAAAAAAAATTCACAAGGTTTAACCATTACCAACATGAATTTTATGGGTCTAAAAATTTAAAACGACATAAATTAGAACACGATAACACTTGTGGTTTGTGACACGTTTGAGAAATATCACTTCACATTTTGAAAAAATGCAAATTTCACAATATGGATTCTGTCTTTACAGGCAATACCGTATTTTCCGCCCTATAAGTCGCT